CAGTGTCGCAGCAAGAGGAGCGGCCCATCAGACAGATCCTCTACCTGGGGAACCTGCTGGAGACGTGCCACTTCCAGAGCTTCTGGGTATGCACATGCGCACACACACACACACACACACACACACAAAATGACACGATGTGGCAACTTTAACTTTTAAAGTTTTACACAGCACGTCTTTCAGTTAAACTTCGCCGTACCTGAATCCAAAGTATCGCCATGTAATAGACGTTGTGTTTTTTTCACCACCAACTCAGCCTGTTCATGGTCGTGCTCATGCTCTTCTTCAGTGTCTGTGTTGGTCACTGCTGCACGCCGGGTGGTCACCTGACCATACGTGCTGCACACACTAGGATAGCTTGTGGGCATAATGTCAGAAGACTCCATACACTACAGGAGAGGCAGTCACGTTCACAGGCACACACGTTAACATTTATTTACATTAAATCGCAAATCGCAGCCTTTTATGCGGTTATGTAATCACACAGCCTGACATCGCAATTGCGATTAGATCGTGCAGCACTACACCGTACGATTTCAATTAGATGCAATTCAGGGGCCTGCGATTGATATGAGACAATATTACGTGTCCATGTAACACAAGAAGCTGCCATTTTTTTGCTTTAGGCCACAAAAGATAAAAACGCCACATAAATAATGTAAGTAATTGAAACCGCCTAGGTGCAGTGAAGTTTCCTTTGAACTGACTTCACTAACTTACATAAAAACGCGCATGGGATGAGTTAACCTTTCTGCCAGAAAGATCTGTCTGGTAAAAATTGGTTCTTTTTAACCCAAATTGTAATCTTTTCTATAAAACATGAAAGCAAGCTCCCGAAAAGAGCCATGAAACATGGATTAACAGCAACGCCATTGTTATTAAACAAAAGTGTAAAATGTGGCTCAATGTTAACTGTCAAGGTTCATAGTCAAAACAACTGGTTTCTGCCAGTCACCCATTATTAGCTTAAGCATGTTTACATTGCACAAATTAGCCTGGCACCCAGCAGACTCTTCCTCTCCTCAGAGTTTAACAAACTACATATCACTTACACTTGTCCTACTCACCACTGGTTTAAGTCCTTGCATCTCCCAACAAAACAGCACAGTCAAATTTTATAAACAGTGCTAAACGATAGCAACGGTGCTGACAGAGCCAACAGTGTTAACCAGCTGGAAACTACAAGGGCGGGCGCTGATGCCGTCCAGATATCAGCAGTAATGGCCATATGAGCATGATGCAAAATGGCAGCGATGAGCTAACCAGTGGGATACACACATGCACAACCAGAACGTCTCAGCGCAGCAAACCACAGAGAATCTCAAATTACACCACACATGGAAGGAGCATGACTTCAGTCTCTGCTCAGCACACCAGTATATTACGCAAGTATATATCCATTATATCTTTACATAACAGATAGTGGTTAGCTCCTGTATTAATGCTCTGAATGTCACACAGCCTTTAAATTGCAGGTTGCCTCTCATTAATTTCGTTCACTCTGTGGTTCACCTGCGCACAACGCTGTGTTACCGGGATAAACAAAGGAACAGAAATGGATGGGGCTTAATATTGCTGACTCATCCATAATTGTACACCTTTCTTACAACACCTCTGCCCTTCCTGTTCTAAGACCTTTTTGTTTTCTTCCTCTTTTCCAAACTTGCGAAAGAGTTTGTTCCCTCAGTGTCATTAAATCATGTCCTTTTCCTCTTCTTCCTGGCAGACGAGTCTCGAGGAGAACCGAGAGCTCATCGACGGGATTACTGGTTTCGAGGACTCTGTTCGCAAGTGTGAGTGTAATGTTCTGACTCATCTCAGTGGACATTATAATCTTACAATAAATAGGAACAGTCTGTGGGAAACAAGCACACCCAAACAGAAAAGATGCACGTTAAACTTGTTTAAACATGATCAACAGTGTCTGTTGTTTAATTGATCCTCCTCCTCAGTTATCTGCCATGTTGTGGGCATTACCTACCAGACCATCGAGCACCGGCTACTGGCTGAGATGTTGGGAGACCCATTGGGTAAGAAGTGCAGTAAAGCACAGACCTGCTACAGTGATCAATGCACCAAATGTTAGATAGTGTGCCAGTTAAAACAATCTCTAGACAATAAAATGATGCAGGGACAAACGTGACCGAACCTTCCAGCATTAACCCCTCTCTCTGTGTGTGTTTGTCCAGACACGCAGGTGAAGGTGTGGATGAATAAGTACGGCTGGACAGAGAACGAGGAAGGACAAATCTTCATCTTCAACCAGGAGGAGAGCGTCAAGCCCAAGAACATTGTGGAGAAGATTGACTTTGAGAGTGAGTGCTGCCGCTCAGACTGACAGATAACTGAGTATTATATGCTAGAAACTGAATTAAATTAGGAAACAAAAACTAATACATGTATCACATGGACTTTTCCAGGTTCTTTAGGTGAACCAGTTCTAATATTTGTACCACATAATACTGCACTTTATCACCAATGTAACATGATGGGTTGCACTTGTCATGTGTGCTAATGGGTTGCTGACTCACTGTGTCTTATTGTTAGTGCTGAAAGCTGCAAGCTTTCCCATCAGTTGATGAGAACAGTCTCATCTGAATGTAGAAGTTCAAATATGAGGATTTGCCCCCTTTCTTTGTTTCATGTCATTATCTTTGTCAGGCGATTAGTCGTGTGTATGTATCTGTCTGTCGGCAGCTAATCTGGCAAACTACTGGACCAATCAGCCTTATGAGAGTGTATGCTCATGGACCTCTAGTGGTTGCGGTGATTCATAATCATTAAAAAAATCTGTTTTATTCACTGTTTTATAACATCAGTAACTGCTGACCCCTCAATCGGGGCTGCAAATTTTCTGGAAATCTGCTCGGCTAGAAACAACAACTCTTGCTGTCTGTCTGTTGCAGGCCTCATTTTGAACCAGAGCATTTGCAGATAAATTCCATGCTCGATATGTTATGATCCGCTAAAGTAAGGCACGATACGAGATGGAAAAAAGGCCTGTTTTTGTTATCTTCACCACCATCTCAACTGTAAGAGAGTCAGGAGGGACAGTTCCACTGGCCGCATCTGCTTCCTGGTTTTGTTTCGTTTTTGTTTCCTGTTTGAGTGAAATATTTGTTTTTATGTTGTAGATTTACTGGAAGTTGAAGTTTAATATTTTTTCTATTTCCCTCTTTTTCTCTCTTTCTACACATCTCCCCCTATTTTTTTCTTTTTACAGGTGTATCCAGCATCATGGCCACATCTCAGTGATGCAAACACACACACACATATACACATATTAAGCATGACAGATTGAACCAGGTCATTTGTTTTCATAATCACTCTTTTCTCAATAAAAATAATTTATCAGTAACACCAGTTGTCTGTGTTTGCTGCTCTCTTTATGGTCTTTAAAACTTCCCCTCCCTTGCTTCATTATTTAAAGGTTTGGTGTATAAGATTTAGGGGGTTTAGTGGTGAGAACTGTAGATTGCAACCAGCTGAAACTTCTCTTAATTATAATTCCTACAGTATTCATTGTCCAGGAGGTTTTTAGCAGGAGCCAAATTATCTGCAGAGGTCTCTTCCTCTCCAAAACAAACAGACCCAATGATTTAAACGTGTAAAAACACTGAATAAAGTAGTTTCACATTTAAAAAAATGTGAAACTACTCTCTTGCTGTCATCACAGAGGGGCTGCTTACTACAGTTGCTGTCGCAAAAACAGGAATGGCCCTGTCTATAATCAGTGTTTGGTTTGTCCATTCTGGGGTTCTGTAGAAAGTTAGCAGTGCATCATGGCGGACTACGTGGACAAAGCCTTGCTCCTTATGTAGATGTTTACGTCTCATTTTAAGGTAACAAAAAATTCTTATTTTCTAGTGATTATAAACTAAAGGAAACACTGATTATATTCCATTGCTGCCAACATATCCCCCTAAATCCTACACACTGGACCTTTAAAACTTTTGCCACAACATGTTAAAAGAGGAAATATTTGGCAGCTCTTCCCAGGAAATATTTTACTTCCTTGTATGTATTTTATGGTATTGGGGTGTTGGCTATACACTGTTATTAGGTAAAATAAAAACCCAGCATGAATCAGGGCAGCCATGTGTGAAGCTGCTGCGTAATCATCATGTGAGGCTGTTCTCAGAAATGAGCCAGTTTTCCTTGAAATAAAAACATTTCATGTTAAAGCCTTTAACAAAAAAAAGGTTTGGTAACCTCTGGTGAAAGGTGGAAAAGTACTCAGATCTTCTACTTAAGTAAAAGTAGTAATACCACAGTGTGGAAATACCCTGTTATAATAATAATAATTAACAGTACAATAGTAGCATCTAAATATTCTTAAAGCTCTAATCATGGAGGACTTATTATACACAATGGCCCATTTCAGAATAATAATTATTATAGTATTGGATCACACTTATTGATGTGTTTATGTGTTTATGACTGTGATGTTGCAGCTGGTGAAGGTGGGTCTCATTTTAACTAACTGCTGGGTAGCTTGTGAATATTCCCCCAATGCATAATAATTTATTTTGGTAATATTTTGTATTAATAATCTGAATCTGCAAATTAACCCGTAACTAAAGTTGTCAAATAAATCAATAAGTTATGAGTAAGTTTTCAAATATAAGTTGAAGAAAATTAAAATATTCAAGTAAAATACAAGTACTTTAGAGCTGTAGCCTACATAGTACACTGCTAGAATAAACCTAGGCTGCATAGTTACTTTCCACCTCTGACCCTGGTGTGTGTCTTTGGGAATGGAAAGCTTGTTAAAGTGTCTCTGATATCTGGAAGAACTTTACATAAAAAGATATCAGAACCTTTGATTTATTTTTGGGTGGCTTTGTATTTGTTGAATCTGTAAACTGAAGTGGAGAAACGTAGGGGCGCCTGGCTGACGGGGACTGAAAAAACCGTGCCGCAGTGAACTCAGCAGCAACAGCCACCCACACCTTCCGCGCAGGTGAGCATCTACCTGTCTACAGCTCCCACAGGGCGTGGCTACTTTGTGTTTGTTGACAATTTAAGCGAGAGACAGAAGTCGGAAGCTTAATTCAGATTGCTGAAGAGGCAATACAACACATCTCCAACATGTTTAAGTCCATGAGTTTGTCCTCTGAAGGCTCCTTCGAAGATGCGGACTCGGTCAGCTCCGACGAGCTGCTCGGCTCTCAGTCCCGCCGCTGGCTCAATGACCTCATGACCACGGACATGCCCGTGGAGGACGGGCACGTCAACTCGGTCGGCGTGGACGGACTGTTCGTGGACTATCACTTTCCCCGCGGAGAGCTGGAGATGAAGTCAGGGGTGGAGTGGAAACGACCAAAGGTAAAGAAAGGGTGAAACCTTTTAAACCTCCTCTGCTGTGGCGCATACAAACTTAAATACATTTAATTAAAGGTAATAAAGTGTGAGCTACATTTCCAGTGGTTTTTTTTTTTGCATGCAACAGGGCAGGTCATTTTCAGTTATCACCCTGTGTGACCTAATTCTCCAGGGAGTCTGGGGTGAATAAATCTGAGGGGAAATTTTTAGAAACTAAACGGCTGAACAATTAAACCAGGGAATCTAAAAGTTTTGATGACTGGATGGTATTTTAGGGAAGCCAGCATATTACTGAGTGCTTCACAGGAAAGATGCACACTATAACTTTTTAATTACTTTATCATCATGACATACTAACTTTTCACAAAAACTATAATAGACAGTGATAACACCTACTACATAACACTCATATTACACTCCAGTTTTCCACTTTTTAATACATTTGACAATCATGGGCAGAAGAAGAGATAATGAGCCCCTGGGCATAGATATGCAAAGGACTCCACCATCTCATAGGAGCAAGACACAGACTTTGTGATGCCTTTGCATGTCTTTGTTGCGGTTATGCATCTTTTTTGTGGTTGTTTGGGTCTCAGAGGTATCTGTGTGACTTTATTGGTGTTTTTGTGTTGCTTTGTAGTCCTGTTTTGTCCCATTGTGGTTGTTCTGTCCATTTTGTAGTTCTTTTGTTTCTCTTTTCCGCTGTATCTTTTTGTAATCATGTTGATTCTCTTTCTGGTCTTACTGGTCTGTATGTGTTATATTGAGTGACATTTTGCAAATAAAGGCCAGGGGGCCCCCTGACTCTTTGGGCCCCTGGGCCTGTACCCAGTAGGCCCTTTTATAGTAATCCACCCATGTTGAAAGTAACATAATAGAGGGGGAGATCAGTGTTTGACATTGATTGTTCACACAGTAGTCAAGCAACGGCTTCTGCTGAAGCACAGCAACATAACTTGGACAAACCACACACAGTTCTGCAGTAGCCACACCGTAATACTAACACCAAGAGTGAAAATAATGACGATTTGTCATGCTTATTTATGATTCTAATTACATTTGCTAATGATTACTTTGGGTGGTGGTGTGTTGTTGCCTGTTGCTGCATAACAAAAAATATTTATATTTTTTTAATCAATATACTGGAGAGAATATTTTGAGCATATTTGAATACATATTATAATTAGTGCCTGGGCATGCATCAGCTGAAATATATGTCAGTGCATTAGCATGTATGTTGTACCTGGTCAAGGAGTTCATCTTATTTTTTTATGTTGGACCATGGTGAATTAACTTAGTACAAGCTCTGCACCTAAGCGTAGTATTGCAGCACTTGTTTCTTTACTTCAGTATTTTCATTTAATGCTACTTTGTAATTCTACTGTACTTTGACAGCTGCATATATACACCCTGGACAGGTTGCCAGACTATCACAGGGCTAACACATAGAGACAGACAACCATTCACACCTACAGCCAGTTTAGCATTACCAGTTGACTTGTGTGTGTTTGGACTGTGGGAGGAAGCTGGAGTACCCGGAGAAAACCTACACTGACATTGACCTACATTGACATGGGGAGAACATGCAAGCTCCGCACAGAAGGGCTCTTTCCTGGATTCGAACCAGGAACCCTTTTGTTCTGAGGCAACAGTGCTAACCACTGTGCCACTCCAGAATTATTCAGCCAATTTAAATTTGTTATGGCACTTATGTGTGTATGAATTTATTGGATTTACCTCTGCCTTCTTTTACTTTCCCCAAAAACAACTTCCTCAATTTATATTTCCATAAAACTATGAAACATAAAGCACAAATACACACAAATGAGATGCATTTCGTCCTGGGCATGCATCAGCTGAAAGATATGTCAGTGCATTAGTATGTATGTTGTACCTGGTCAAGAATGAGTTCAATAATAAATTTGTTTTCACAAGACTTAACAGGTCAGTCAAAGGTGTCAGTACTGTGAGCTAGAATCAATCAATCAATCTATTTTATTTATAAAGCCCAATATCACAAATCACAATTTGCCTCACAGGGCTTTACAGCATACGACATCCCTCTGTCCTTATGACCCTCGCAGCGGATAAGGAAAAACTCCCCCCAAAAAAACCCTTTAACGGGGAAAAAAAACGGTAGAAAGAGGTATGTCTAGGAAAACACATTGTTCCTGATGGGGGAAGAATTATCATAACCAATTATCATAACCAATTATGATCATATCTTGGGCGATGTATTAATCAATAGAAAGATGGTCTAATACCGGTATCCTATTGTACCTGTTTCACAATATTCCGCTGCCCCTGCCATCATCGCATTTCACTAAATCAAAGAAAATATGTTTGTATTTTATTTGGAATAGCAGACAACACAGGTTACGTCTGACATTATTATACTTATTGTCTGTCAGAGGGGGTTGTAATATTTGAATGTCAGTGCACACTGAAATTCAAAATTCAAATACAAAATGGTCGAAACATTCAGGCTTGATTTCCTATCCTGCCCTGGGTAGCCCAGATGTTGCTATTTTAACTAATAACAAGGATTTTCTGAAAGTTACAAACAGAACCTTTAAACTTTGCCTCCAGGTGCTATTTAGTAGGCCTACACTCAAGTGCAAGTTTATTTCTATAGCTAATGCAGTCTTACACAGCGGCCCTGCATCTATCCTTCACGAAAGTTATCATGTTTTTCAGAGAGGCTGTAGTTTATGTTGCCGTTGGATTGTTTATACTAACTTGAGATTATCATAAGTATGTTTAGAATTATTAATCGGACGTCTACAAAAATGATAATTATCATACACTTTGCAATACTGCACAAACTAATGCAAATCTTCCTGTGACTCTGAGTAAAACTGTTGAAGAAAGAACAGATACTGTGCCAAGTTTATGTCACATGTTCTGATTAAATAAGTAGCTGACACTCCCTTTTGCATGGTGCTGTTCTGACGCGCTAAATCCTGTTTTGTTTGTCCTCGTGTTACTGTTTTCCTCTCCATCGTCTCTCTTCTTCTTCTTTGCTCTGAGAAGAATACAGAAGATTACAGAAAAGTAAACATCAACCCATATCAATTTATGAGTTAAACTTTGCCTTCAGGTGCTACTGAATAAACTGAATATCGACAAACAAGTTAATAATATGTGCAGAACGTCCTGGTCTGTCTCATCTGTAGCTGGCAGACATATATAAAGACATTAGATAGTGCATAAGTTGAAAATAGAAAGAAATATAAAATAGAATACTGTGGTTGACAGGTGTACAGTAGTGATAATGAATGAACTGTAATATAGACAGGATTAAATAAATATATATGTCGACTTCAGCATGAGCAGGTATAAACAGGTAGCAGGAGATAGTATGAAGGTAAAAAATCACCTGTGTGATTAAAGTGGCGTTGTTGCATCCTGTTTGTCTCTTAAAGTGACGGTTCACTCCAAAATACATATTTGTTGCTTTGAGCATCACAAGCCGAGTGGCATCCAGTTTCATTATGTTCAAGAGAAGGCAGATATCTTTACAGCTGATATCTCCAACACTCGGCAACTCACACCAAAACAATCTAGATTATATAAATAGCACTACAGCTATGAGGGAAAATATGTAATTTAGATTTGGGGGTGAACATGATTTCTCAACAAGAATGAAAATGACAAAATCAAATAGATAAAACGTCATAAAGTTTAGTATGTAAAAAGAATCAAGGCACCTGAGAAAACCTTAGACTTGTTGGCTCAAAAAGAAAAATGTTGTCAGGCTGTATAAAAGTGTCATCATCATTTCATCAACACACGGTGAGGTTAAACAAGGGCGCACTGGAGGAGAGAGCACTTGTTACTCGCTTGTCTAACATCAAGTGAACTTTCAAGACACACTAAAGACACACTAAAATGGACATTCAGTTGAAGACTACCCCTTTTATGTTTTGGTATATGTATGTCAGAAGGTTGTCAGTCCTAAGTTTATCAGTTTATTGTCATAGCCTGGCATCACCAGACCAAATCACAAAGGCCAGTAGTATCTGCCAGAGCAAATAAAACCTGATGTCACAGATTTGTTTGGCTCTCAGGCCGGTGGTTTGACACTTGAACAGTTAATGACCAGGACATACCAATCCTGTTTGACTGGTACTGTGGACTCTCCCTCATATTTACATACTGTACAGTCTACTGAGTCCATAATGAAATATTATCTCATTATTTCTGTCACATTTCTGTTTCAGTTGGCTAGACAAAGTGTTGTCAGTCAGTTCATTTCTGAGTAGTTATGCATCAAAGCATGTGAAATATCTATTATGCATACATCCAGCCATCCATATTCATCTGCAGCAGGCTGAGCAAGGTGTTTCAGACACCCCTCTCCTCAGTGGCTCCAAAGCGGCAACAGCTCTACTCCAAGCTCCCTCCAGATGTCTGCACTCCTCACCCTGTCTCTAAGGTTGAGCCCAGCTTCCCTACGGAGGAAACTCAATTTAGGCACTTATATCCTCAGTCTCATTTGTTTTGGTCACTACCCAAAGCTCATGACCATTATAGGTAAGAGTCAGAACATAGATGGACTGGTGAGTCGGGATCTTTGCCTTCTGGTTCAGCTCCCTCTTCACCACAACGGTCTGGCTTTATTTATACAGCCCTTTCCAATACTGTGTTACAAAGTGCTTCACTTGTTTGACCAGGTCATCCATTTAACGGAAGATCATTGGTTCAATCCCTGATTCCTCCTGTCCACAGTCAAAGTATCACTGGGCAAGATACTGAACTCCAATTGCTCCCACTCTGGCAACTTGTATAGTAGCCTTGGCCACCAGTGTGTGTGAATTCTGCATGTTAGTTTGGCTTCATCTGTCTCTTGAAAATGGTGTGACCTAATGTTTCAACAGTTAAGGAGTTCTTGCCACAAAAAAGGTTGAAAACCACTGTCCTGGGGGAAAGTCCTGTGTTGTTTGACCAATCCACCACCCCAACCTGTGTCCTTACACAGACTTGGGGTCTTTATACTGCTTTCTTCTGTACTCCCGTGAGTGCATTGGTCATGTGATTCCAACCTTCCTGATTACTTGGATTATATACAAATCATGGTGCATTACTTTTCACGTACGAACCGAGCATTAGAACAGCCTGATTAAAATGGTAATTATCATACACCTGGCAACACTGCAAAGATATTAAGCCAATATCAATCCTGTCGTGTGACTATATGTAAGACTGTTGAAGTACTCCTTCAAAAAAAAACAAATATTGTGCCAAGTTTATGCCACTTTGCTCTGATAGCTGAACTGTAATAATTAGCTACCACGCACTTTAGCATTGTGCTGTTCTGACGCCCTAAATCCTGTTTATTCTCATTTGACTGTTTCCTTCTCTATCCTTTCTCTCAGTTGCTTTCTCTTTTTTTCTCTGGCTCCTCTGCCTTCTCCTTTTGGTCAACTAATCATCAAACTCCCTGCTGTTCCCAGGAGCTCTGCACATCACCTCAGTTCATAGTAGATGGAGCTTCTCATCTGGATGTCCGCCAGGGAAACCTCAGTAAGAAGACAGCTGACACATAACGTTATTATTTTTCTCACTCACCGTTGCATCTCTCGACAGAACAGCACATTTGAGTTTCAGCCTGCATGCACGTTTTTTCAGACTGTCATTGATGAAACAGAGAAGCTAATGTTAAAGTTAACTGAGTGAGATGCTGGTCTAGACAGCTAACATTATGTTGTGTTTTATCTGATAACGTAATTGTTCACAAACACCATACACCTGTTGACCTGTATTTTCTCCGAAATCCAAAATATTTGATTAGATTTGGATCGATGGATCATTACACCCCTATAAACGGTAGAATTTCAAAATACATCGTCCTTCTTCAGCTCTCTTCTCTCTATCCTAAGCCCCTCCCACCAGACGACCATGGGTGTTTACACGTGCTTTAAACTGTGACCCAGTGTTTCCCAGATACTGGTTTATTTAATCTTGTTTAACTGTAGATTTGCCTGCAGCTCATCTGCTCAGCCAAGAGATAAGAGAAGGTGCAAAACTCTAGTTTGCTGAGACTTTATTATGGGATGTTTGCTCCAATGAAGCCAAAATTAAACTGCCTACCCCAGCTATAAATCAAAAGAATCACAATCACATACACTGTTACTGAGTGGGGTTATATTAGTTTGTGTGTCAAGTAGCAGCGTTTGTTAGTTATTGAAGAGTCTGACAATCAGCACTTTGATGTGGCCTGCAAAACAACATAATGCAGCTCCACGGAGGTGAAACCATCTGTGACAGATCTGCAGGTGCATGAATAAAACCTGATGGACCTGCAGTTGATGAAGAATTACAGCTGCTGCTGACACAAATACAGACTGTGAAGGGGATGAGTCAGCAGGAAGCAGTGTACTTAACTGCCCCAACTGTAGATAATATTATTCAAATATGGTATTTGATATTTGTGTCGCAGTACCTTTGTTAGCCTTAGAGGCAAATTGGCATCAAAGATGACTGGTCAGCTCCCTTTGTAGAGCTATGGTCCCAACTTAGAACATTTCTATAATGTAAACTGTATTTTTCACAACTATTTTGCACATTATTGTGGACACGATAGTCCTCTCTATTCCCCACCTTTTATTTAAGTCAAATTCCTTGTACTGTATGTGCTCACATAGTTGGCCTATAAAGCGGATTTTAATTTTGACTTGCGTTCTCCTTCAGGTTACTTATACCTGTTAAACCCAATGCAGTCATTTGACACTTTCTGAATGCATATCATGAAACAAGTGGCCAGTGAACAATGGATTATGGGAGAATGAGGGCTGAAGAGGATGCACCAGTTTGTGTCAAATTTGGGCAAAAGACGACTGCATATGGAGGAGAAATAGGGCTTCTAAACAGGGACTGCCCATTGTTACAATGACCCAAATTCTTGAAGGCCCAGGAAAGATTGAAACTTTGCGTGTCTCAACAAGGCTGTGGTGAATGTACACTGAAACTAACTACATGGAGTGTGAACTTTAAGAGAAACGGTACTCCAGAGCAATGGCCATTTTGTTTTAATGGGCTGTTGGAGAAATGGGCTTTTGCTCCAATAAATTAAAAGTTTGGTCTAAGGGGGCTTAAGAATTTTGGGCCTTTGGAACAATGGTATAGCACCTTATAAACAGTTCATGACATTGTGTTGAAATGCAGAATTTAAATCATCACCTAACTTATTTCTCAATCCTCCCCAGATGACTGCTGGTTGCTTTCTGCCATCGCGTCCCTCTCCCTGCATCGCTTTCTGCTCGAGAAGGTCATGCCTCTTGGACAGGGCTTCCAGAAAGGATACAACGGCTGCTTCGTGTTCAGGGTAAATACCCGAAAGCTGCTTAACATGTTTTCTGCACAGAGCAGACGTCTTTGTTTTACAAGGTGGAATTCTCAGTCTGGGGTTTAAAATACAGGGACAATGACACAAAGGAACTTCAAATCTTTCTTGTCTCTGTCTGTCTTTGTGTTGACAACAATGGAATTTTCATCTAGATAACAAGTTCTGCATGATAGCAGATTTTGGAAAATGTTTGAAACTATCATGCTGACTTTTTATGGCCATTGTAAAAGTTGATGAAAGCAGGTCACTGGCATTGTAACAAAATGACACCACCCTCTCTCTCTCTCTCTCTCTCTCTCTCTCTCTCTCTCTCTCTCTCTCTCTCTCTCTCTCAGTTCTGGCAGTATGGTCAGTGGGAGGAGGTGAGGATAGACGACTTGTTGCCAACTTGGAACAACAAACTGATCTATCTCAGCTCCCCGGAAAGACATGAGTTCTGGAGCTCCCTGCTGGAGAAGGCCTACGCCAAGTGAGTCCCTGTGCATCAGTGTGCACGTCAGTCATTATCTCACTTAGATCTAACTGCTGAGGTAATGTGAGGGTAATCACATCCCATGAACTGGGACACTTTATACAATCAGCAACTCATCAAAAGTGCTTCTTATGTATTTGTGTGGACCCTTTGACTTTCGCCTTGCACCACTATCAGGCCCTGGCTTGTAAGAGGATTTTTTCTTGTTAGAAACATGTAAACTAGTTGCCGATGTTGTAAATTTCTACCTGATTTCGGATCATATTCCTGCTGGAGCATGTCTGGGTGTGTTTAGAAGCTTTTATTATACAGATGCTTAGTCAGTGACCTTGGCATCAGACGCCAACGCACAGAGGTACCCTTTAGCAACTGTATGAGATGCGGTGGCCTTTTCTGATGTTTCGGCCAAGTATGGTGGTAAAAAGAGCTAGAAAGTGTGCATAGGGTGAGAGGAAGTGGAGGTGAATGGGTCAAACAAACCCCAGATTTTCACCCAGGAAAAGTCTGTTTGTTTCCTCTGTGAAACCAAAAGTCATTCAAGTTATTTTAATAACTAACTAGTGCGCTAGTATGCTTAGAATGCTATGTGACATTATGCAACGTATGTCACATCATGTTACATCATGTCAGTGATAAACATACTTATTTGAAGTTTTTTTCTAAAAGGAAGTAAACCTAAAAAACAAAGTGTGCATGTGTGCAATGAGGGCGACATCACCCTCAGAATGAACTTAAGGAAGCAAATTTATCAGGATGCTGACTGTTTGGCTCGATACTGTCACATTGAGTGCACTGAACATTACAGCTGGTAGGGCAGAGATGTAGTCTGCCTGTTACCGACATTTCATGTTCAAGTTATGCTCCTTTGCAAAAAGTCTGTAATTAGTGGCTTTTTAAAAATAATTATTGTTGCTTCATCCAGTTACAGGTAGCACCAGAAATATCCTTAACCAGAATAACAAACATGTTGTCTGTGGAACCTTTTGTACACACTGTGCAGTTGTTTTGTCTGTCCAGCTGAAATGAAAACTTTCACAGATCTCCCTCAGTCAGTCTGCCTCCCTGTTTGTGGAATAACATGTATGGCACCACACAAACATACTGGAAAGAACATCCTAAATACTGAAATAGATTTTCTAAAACTGAAAATCGCTTTATTTGTTAATTTATTTACCTGTCATGTTTTTTTAAAGGAAATTAATTTCTCTTACAAGATCTTGTTCGTTCAGCTATTTATCTGTCTGGAATCTGTCTGATGTGTTAATCCTCCTCGTGTCTTTTCTCCCTAGGGTGAAAGGTGGCTACAGAGCTCTGGACATGGGCTATCCTCATGAAGCCATGGTTGATATGACGGGTGGGGTGACTGAGGTTTATAGTGTTGGCACAAAGAGAAACCTGCCGTCCTTCCTCAGACACCAGCTGGCTAAAGGAGCACTCATCAACTGTGCCAACTGCCAGGTACAGTGAGGAGGATCGCGGTGGCATGACATGTGGGGGAACGGACTTGTTAGGTCTAGTTTAAATTGCAGAACATGTCATAGAACATGTTCCTATTGAAAGTTTACTTGTATGAGATGAGTCACATGAGTGTTATCATACCTTTTCCTTCTGTCCTGACTGTGGGTGGATGTTTTTTTCCTCCAGGGTTCTTTGGAAAAAAAGAATGAACTGGGGATCATGTACAAACACGCCTACTCTCTGACTGCAATAGAGAAGGTAAATAGAGATGCCTATTGACAGGTTACATAGTTTACACATTTCTGTGAGAAATTTGTAGACACATAACAGCTAGACTGACCATTTAAGAGCTTTTGAAATTAAATCTTGGATCAGATGTTTCAAATGTTTGATGACTGTGTGACATTTTAGGGAGCCAGCTTATGATTAAGGGCTGCACAGGAAAAGTGCACACACTATGACTTTTTATGACAAACTTGGACTTTTTATATGACATTTTTATTTGATATTTACCATGATATTTTTTTTATGTTTTTTTTATGAGATATTATACCACAACACTTTGTGACTTTTTACATGAGATTTATACTATGGCATTTTTATGAGATATTTTACTATGACTATTTTATGAGATTTTTTATGAAATATTTTACAGCATTTTGATGATTTTTTTTTTTTTTTTTTTAAAGAGATATTAGACTATAACATTTTTGTGATGTTTTTCATTAGATATTACATGATGACATTTTTGCGACATATTATACCATGACATTTTTATGAAATATTATACTGTGATATTTTTACGAAATATTTTATTATGACATATTTATGAGATTTTATATCAGATTTTTTTTTTTAGATATTTTTTAATGAAATATTTTTAGTGCGAGATTTTTATGAAATTTTTATGAGACTTTCAAGAGATATTAGACTATAACATTTTTGTGACTTTTTTATGAGATGTTACATGATGACATTTTTATGAGATATTTTACAAGACATTTTTATGACATTTTTTTATGAGATACTTTATTACAACATTTTTATGACATTTTTATGAGACTTTTAAGATATATAAAACTATAACATTTTTGTGACTTTTTAATGAGATATTAAATGATGACATTTTTATGAGATATTTTACTATGACGTTTTTATGACATTTTTTACAAGACAATTTTATGACATTTTACTATTACTACTACTACTACTTTACTAGGATATTTTACTTTAACATTTCTTGACATTTTTCTGACATTTGTATGAGATATTATACTATGACATTTTTATGACATTTTATGCAATTTTTTTTTACAAGTTATTTTACTGTGACATTTTTATGACATTTTATGCAATTTTTTTTTACAAGTTATTTTACTGTGACATTTTTATGACATTTTATGCGATTTTTTTTACTAGATATTTTACTATGACATTTTTATGAGATATTACACTATGACATATTTTTATGACTTTTTAGGAGATCTTTTACTACGACATTTTACGACATATTACATTATGACATATTTTATGAGATATACTGTGACATTTTTACGACATATTATGACATTTTTATGAGATATTATACTATGACATTTTTATGGCATTTTTATGACAAAGTATTGACACGACAGTGAGCCTACATATATCATAGTTTTCCACTATTTAATACACTTGAAGGTAATTTCATAAAAAGACAGTACAGTGTTTGACATTGATTGTACCACCAGCAGTCGATCAATGACTCCTAATGGGGTATGATAGCACTACTGTACAAACTACACGTAGACCTGCAGTAAACCATAATACTTGAATCAGTAATAACAATTGCAACTTGTAAGATGTAGTCAGTAGATGATTTGTTCACCTTTAACACGGAGGATGGATTCATCTTGGCCCTCAGAATATTAAAACCTCTTAAAATATATTTTATTGTAAGGGCCTAGATTTAAATGGAGGATTTGAAGACATTCATCATGGCCTGTCCTTCCTACTGCTCTAACCTTTTCTTTCTGTCTGTTTCTTTCCTCTGCCAGGTGAAGACGGCAAACGGCACCCAGGAACTGATCCGAATCCTAAATCCCTGGGGCGACACTGAGTGGGAGGGGCCCTGGAGTGACTTGAAAGGGTCGGTACACACAGGTTTTCAATTTATTTTATAACCGATGAATGAACATATAAAAGAAGTCAACTTGGAAGATAAATAGAATTTACAAATTTAAATTATTCGTGCATTTGCATGTGTCTTCCTCTCTCAGTCTCTCTTGTGTTAAAGTTAATATATCGCCATGTGCACAACATTACAGTGCTCTTACAAATATATATGATATATATATATATATATATATATATATATATATATATATATACAGGGAAAACATAAATTAGTGCATAAATATAGGGATGAATATTAAAAGCACTATTAAATAAGGTAATCAAGACTATGTTGTTTTCCTGAATCAGTGATAACATTTGGAAAAACATATTTTACACTTTTTAGGGGGCAAAAATATAAAAGTCTCCTCTCTCTGTTTATGTGTCTGTGTGTCTCTCTGTGTGCAGTCCAGAGTGGAACACAGTGAGCATCGAGGAGCAAAAAAGACTGGGTGTAGTCAGACGGGAGGATGGAGAGTTCTGGTGAGTTTGTGCGTCTGAATGTCCCTCTGTGACGTACATCACTGCTGACTCTGACTCCTAATGTCCGCCTTCAGTAAACATAGGAGTTGATGAGACATTTTTTTCCAATAATTTAAATGACCATGTGAACAGTTTCAAAAACTTAAACTGGTCTTGCAGAATGGAACTTGATCTAAACCAGATATTTGTACGGCAGCCCTGAGAGTGCAATGTGCTGTGCAAACAAATAAAAACACAATCAAAACATTTCCCAGGGGACACTAAAAATTAATGCACTGCTGAACCTAACCTGGCGTCAGCCTTTAGTTTATCATTAGCCTGCCGATTCAAATAATCAGACAAAATACACACATGTAACTGTGAAACAGGCTAACGTTACATTAGCTGGCTATAATGTCTCAGGACCTGTCATATGGGACGAGCATATCAAAGCACGACAGGAGGAATAAAATAAAACTTGCAGCATGTTTGTATATTTGTGTTTCTCTATTAGCAGTGTGTTGAGCTCTCTGGGCCTCTGTGTATTCGGGCAGACTGGCCTGTAAGTGAACTCACCAGTTTCTCTCTCCATCAGGATGTCGGTGTCAGACTTCCGACAGCACTTTGAGTTGATGGAGGTGTGTCACCTGACTGACGGTCTCAGTGATCAGGGGTCCAGAGTGCTGCCGTGGTGCTGCACAATGCATCATGGGAACTGGGTGCCGCGCATCTCAGCAGGGGGTCCTCACTCAGGGCGTAAGATACATGATGATACATGATCAAACATGTCTGTTTTTTTTGTTCTGTGTATGGTAACTTGTGTTTGGACCATTAACTCTCCAACAGTGATCATTATTTACTGAAGGGAAAACCTTAAGTAGAGATGTTTTGATTGTCATATTTGAATAAGGGACTGTACTTTATGGTTTGTTGCACATGATGCGTGTAAGGGCAGGGACTGTTTCTGGCTAAATACATGATGTCACTGTCCAACTAATGTTTGCTGGGTTAACGTAAGAATACTGGAGTCATGCTGCCTGCTGAGGTCTGTTTGTACAGCGTCAATGATCGGTTCTGCATCAGGATTTGCTGTCAACACATCAAGTTGAGACAAGTTTATTTCTGCCTGTCTTTAACAACAGTGCCAAAGTGGTGCCACTGTGCAGTGTATTTCATCTCTGCAATACTCAGTAGGTGTTCCAAAAAGAAATGTGTTTTTGTTGGCAGTCCCAGCAGCTGCGTAAAAGGCTGTCAATGGAGAATGCTGTCAGGTCAGTTTCAACATAGAAAAGATGTTCCAGGAGGTTTATTCTGTAAAGGTCCAGTGTGTAGGGTTTAGGGGGATATACTGGCAGAAACGGAATATGATAAGTATGTTTTCTTTAACTGAATGTAAAAGAACTGTTGTGTTTTCCTTACCTTAGAATGAGCCGTCTATATCTACATAGGGAGCAAGTACTCCTCCATGGAGTTGGCCATGTTGCACCGTTGTGTTTCTACAGTAGAGTGGAAAAAACAAACACTGGCTCTACATAGGGCCATTCACGTTTTAGCAGCCCCTCTGCAATGAGCAGCATCAGAGAAACACCATTTTATTTAAATGTGAAACTGCTTTATTCAGTGATTTTACCAGTTTAAATCACAGGATGTTTGTTTCTGAGAGGAAGAGACGTTTGCGTAAAACTCATCTCTCAATAAAACCCCCCTAAACATCTGGATCTAGAGTTATTAGAGAAAAAAGAGGATCACACATTAGCTGGTGCTGGACGAGCAGCCCGATGAGCTGAACAGTGTCGGAGAAACACTGAGTTTTAGTGTGAAACTGCTTTATTTAAGTTTTAATCACCTGGTCCATTTGTTTTGAAGAGGAAGAGACCTCTGCGGATAATTTGGCTCCTGGTAAAAAAACTCCTGAACAATGAACACTTAAGTATTTGTGCCATCATGGAGAGAGACGAAGAAGGAAATGGTTTTTGCTTATGTACACACTTCGGTTTAGGGTTACAGGCTAAAGTAAAACGGAGTAAGATGTAGTACTGATAGAGACTGTGTGTTTGGTTCCAGGTTTGTTCTGGCAGAACCCTCAGTTCTACTTCACCCTGTCGGAGGTGGACAGTGACGCAGACGAGTCTCAGAAGACCTGCTCCTTTATTTTGGCTCTGTTGCAGAAACACCAGAGACTCAGGGGCGTTGACCTGTCTATAGCCATGGATATATACCCGGTACTCACACACACACACACACACACACACACACACAGTAAGACACAAGATGGCAGTTATTTATTAATAAATGATCAAAATACTCACCTACTGATGCAGACTAAAACCAAACAAGATCCAACTATCTCAGAGACAATAGTGGATAGTAGCTAAGTACTTTTTAATTTATACTCCACTATATTTTAGAGCAGCAGTTGGGAAACAAATATAGTTGCAGGAAGTTAAGTTTGATTTTGTGGCTCATTAGTTTGTTGTATTATAAGTGTGTGTGTTGTCACTCCAGGCCAATCCTAATACAACATACCTGTCACCTGAGGACTTGAGTATGCTCCAACCAGTCCTCTGCACCTCCCAATACTCCTCACGTCGGGAGGTCGTCCTTCGCGGCTCCCTTCCACCAGGCCACTACATCATCATCCCTTCAACCTGCAAGGCCAATCAGCAGGGAGCATTTCTCCTGCGGGTGCTGACAGAGCCGGGTAACACTGCCATGTGAGTCGAGCATCAATCTGTTGCAGAGAAAGTTTATAAAGTAAAAATTACCAACCAAGCACCGTCAAACTGTGTGTTTCAAGTGCAGAAAGGTAAAGAGGCAAAACGATGACCTCCAATCTGCAGATGAGATAAGCTTATGATGGCATGCTGTATTCAGAGTAAAATCAAAATACAAAACTGTCTAACTTGACAGAATTAAGTGCACACACCCTGTGCTGGACCGAGCAAATTCAACACCTCCAGTTTTATCCAATTTTTTAGTACGCTCATCAGTGTCACAGAGGAACAGTGTGATTCATGGTCATTTACACCATGATGATAAAACTGTGAGGACTTGTGATTTTAATTCTAATATGTTTTCATGTTTTTTTTCCAGTCCAGCCAGCAAACCATCGCCACATGACATCTCTTCAGGAAAAGAGGTAGGAGTTAAATAAGCTACGGAATAAGCAGGCAGGGCTAAAACTAAATCCATCAATGCCGAACCTACAAGTCAGACAAGTTATGATGTGAGAGAGTCCCAGTAAAGCCTGGATAGTTCAGTCAGGGTTCAGCTGCTAAAATAGTCAAATATGTTAGCAACTCATATTGAAGTGGTCTTTGGATGTAAACTTTTGTCCCACAATGCAATGCAAACTTGAAATAGAGGAGCCACTAACCCTGCGTTCACGTGTAGTCACAATAATCAAAAATTAAGTTCCTGACTGAGAATATTCATGGAAACACGCTGACAAAAATGTTAGTACACGAGTTGCTGAGTTATATATGCAGAAACATGGCATATCAAAGTAAATGTTCTGTTGATGGTTTCAAAACTTTTTATTAATTCACACATGACTGTAGGAGCATAAAAGTACAGTGCGATTATTCTTTCTTATTGTTGATAAGTGTTCTCAGAGCCTGGATAGCTCAGTCGGTAGAGCATCAGACTTTTAATCTGAGGGTCCAGGGTTCAAGTCCCTGTTCAGGCAAGACTAGTTTTAAGACACTTGAAGTGGTGATCAATGACAGGAAAATCATTCATCAGTTAAAATATGATTTCAATTACGTACCTCAAACACTTCTACATGTCAAACAGTTCATGGTTATACACAGTACGTAGATGGGGTGTTGTTTGCAAGTGAAGTTAAAATGCAGCATGAAAGCATCAGTAGTGATGTAGACAATGTGTCAGACTGTTGAGTCACAGAAAGAGGTGAGCTGGAAGTCAAAGCTCCTGAATTACCAGCCCGCTTAGGTTCTGACCCTCACCTATGGTCATGAGCTTTGGGTAGTGATTGAAAGGATGAGATTGCTGATGCAATAGGCTGAAAAGACTTTCCTCCATAAAAGATATTGTGAAGGAGACAATTAAGGGAGTAACTCTACACAGTGGTTCCTTTCTCTTGCTGTGAATAGTTGCAAATAAAGCCTGGATAGCTCTATTAGTAGAGCATCAGACTTTTGACCTGAGGGTCCAGGGTTAAGTCCGTGTTCAGGCAGGATGAGTTGTAAGTTTCCTTGGAGCTGATCACAACAGGAAAGATGTGTATTAGCTGCTGCAGAGGTTCAGTCACTGAGCACATAGTTTACCTCAGTCACATAAGTGAACTAAACCACAGTTACCATTTGTGCCTCAGTTCCATGTTATATCCAAGTATTACATAGAGTAATAGTAGTACACCATTGTCCCATAATGCAATGCACAAAGAAAATATAACTCACAGCTGCAAAAGATAAAGAAGAAGTGGTGGAAAAGAAGAAATTGGAAAATAAAACAACAAAAAAATCTTAAAAACTACACCGTGCTGCAAAAGTGGACAAGATCAGGCAGCAGCAGCAGGGGGCAGTGAGAGCCGGTCAAGTTGGACAGTTTCCTGCAACCTTCAGGCTGTACAGGAAGTCATTGAAACACTCACACCCTGTTAGATCTGATTCCTCTTTGATGAAATGTTATCAGACACGTATATCAGTTTGTTTACAGTCTCCAGTTGTTTTAATTACACCAGAGTAGGCTAATGAAATGCCTCACAGGAGATCTGCAAGTTGTGTTCATGGTTCAGCCTCCATTTTACAGGAATTCTCATGTAAATCAGCATCATATCAGTTTGCTGCTGTATGTAAATCAGCTGAGCAGACCTGTCACCATCACGCACACAAATGAATTTATGACAAATATAGTCAAACACAGAGGAAAGAAACACAAGACAACAGCTTTCGTTAAAGATCAGTCAGATATAGTCAGGGCTTCACATCTGTACAGATGTCATTTTAAGAATCCTCACATCTTACTTACCACAAGTCTTGGTGTTGCTACATTAAAACAGTCCAATGTTAATACACAATAGACTGTAAAGTTTAAGAGCTGTGATATGAATGTATTCAGTCTCTTTGACTACTAAATGTCACTATCAGCAACAAGTATTCTGGTAACACTGTAAACCCCCCCTGGGTCTGGAGAGAAATTGCTGCTACATTAAGCTTGTGGCCACGATAAGTGGAGTGAGTTGGGACAAGTTCGGACACAAATCTGACCGACTAGCATGCATTGTGCAGAAATCAGTAGTGTTAGATCCTGTGTGGCCCTCATTGTTCAGGACTATTAGCTACTGATTGATTTTCCTGTCTTGCTGTCTGCTTCCATTGACTTAAAACTCTCCTCGCCTGAACAGGGACTTGAACCCTGGACCCTCAGATTAAAAGTCTGATGCCCTACTGACTGAGCTATCCAGGCTCTTCTTATATTATGTCACAGTAAGATCAAAGAACCACAGTAGACAATTACGCTCCTACAGTCTTCAAACCTCTGCCTCTGTCAAAACTTTACCAGGGTATCAATACTTTATAAGACATTTTGCTTCTTTTAACTTTGATCAATAAGTCAGGAGGGAGAGTTTTAAGTTTGGAACTTGAATCCAAAACAGTACAAACATTCAGTAGGTGATTAAAGTGAGGTATTGGCTTTTCTCAGACTTGTTGCTGCACCTGTACACCTTCTAAAACAAAGAAAATATGCTTTACTTGACTAATGCTAATTAATATCTTTTTTAACTAATAAAGGTCTCTCTACAGTTACTTCAAATTACACGTAAGCTAAATATGTAAGTTCATATAAAGTTTATAACCACCAACCGAACATTTACTTTTGTACACCATGTTTCTGTATATACAGTGTAACTCTGCAACTCACGGATTTTCACTGAATTTCAGAGTCGTCGTTATGACTTGAAGGGGTGTCCACATCATTTTTAACACTCAGGAAGTTATTTTTCTGATTATTCTGAAACCACATGAATGCAGGGTTAGTGGCTCCTCTGTCTCATGTTTGCATTGCATTGTGGGACACTGGTTTACATCCACAGACCACTTAAGGAAAGGAGGTTGCTAATTTATTTAACTATACCTAACTTTCAAGTCAGGATCACAGTGGACACACATTTACTCAGCATGCAGTGATTGTGTTGAATTGATTTTCCTGTCATATTTGTCCACTTCAAGTTCTTTAAAAATAATCTCGCCTGAACAGGGACTTGAACCCTGGACCCTCAGATTAAAAGTCTGATGCACTACCGACTGAGCTATCCAGGCTCTTCTTAAGCACATTTACAGTAAGAAGAAAAAAATTCTCGCATTGTCTTGAAAACTGAAGACATCATATATGGAAAACATACTGATGTTTAAAAACCTCTTGTAGTGTTTCACACATGCTTGGTTCTCTGAAACTGACATTGATAATGTATCAAGAAAGCAAAAAAGTTGGTATGCGGAAAGAATTCAAATCTGTGATTTCAGAGAGAAAAACTGAGAAATAAACTTTGTTAAACAAAGCGAATGTGTGTTCTGACTAAAGAGGTATTTTAGGTCTTAGTGAGGCTCCAGAAATGCTCATGAGAACAGATGAGCACTACTGCTACTCCATACTTGATAGTAATAGTGTATTCATCATGGCTTGACGCTAACTTTTTTCCCAAGGAGCACATGTGCTCCTAAGTTGAAAAAGTAAGGAGCGCACAAAGAACTTTAGGGGCACAATGTAAATTGATCAAATAATGTGTTTTCCATAATAAACATGATGCAAATAGACATTTACAAGCAAAAATATTTAATGAATTTGTATACAAAATGTACAGAAAGGTAAAATCATCAAGTTTTGAAAAAATATAGCGATTTCATTTTGTCTTTAATGTTATTATCTTATATATATTAACTTTGCAAGATGATTATCTTATAGCCTATAATGTTCAGTGTTTCCTCATCCCTCAATTGGGACCCATGGTACAATACCAGTGAAAGTATCATGGTTCTGAGGCAGATGTGCCCTTTGTCATTTATAAAAAGATAAATCACTTTTCTATAATACATCACTGATATTTCAGTGGAATAAATTACTTATTGACTTATTCATACTTCAAAAACAGCATCAATAAGTGATTAACATAGGGTGGATCAAAATAAAATAAATAAATGAAATAAAAATCAACCAGCCACCCTCCTCCCCTGACAGTCCCTTCATAAGTAATGAACAGTCCCTAAAGTTTCTCCTCTGATACGACACATACTGTGTGCCCCCATGGCTCAGCTGTTCAGGTACTTTGGGCAGTAATGACAACAAGTTATTCACCTGGAGCCGGACTTCTTCGCCGGTAAGCCGTTATAATGCGCCGCCGTATTTGACAGGAATACGTATTCCTGTCCGTGTCTGTGACCCCCATTCAACCCACAACCGGCGGGATTCGCCGTTACTGTTTATCGCCTCACTGCCGACATTTTACTCCATCCGTCACCGCACGCTGTTTGATTGCGTTATCAAAACACGCCGCTATTATTCGGCCTTGCTTTTCACTTATTCCACCGAATACCGAATGTGTGGTGTTTTTTTTTTTTTTTTTGCAATATTCGGCCGAATATATTCGGTGCATCCCTAAATAGGAGCCTTCCCCCACTCCCCACTCCCCTCACCGCTGTTCTCCTCCATATACTGGCTGCTGCGCTGTGCAAGTGCACAGATGTCTCAGAGTGGTGGTGCACTTGCAAAAATGTTTTGAAGGAGCAGCAGCGACGGCAATAATAACGAATGTAGCCGAAACGGGAACTGCCCATTGGTTCGACAGCCCATTGTTCCGACCATATTAAACTCATTGTTCCGAAGTCCGTTCTGAAATCATCATGATGCCCTGTGGTTAAGGTCTGGTTAGGTTTAGGCACAAAAACCACTTGGTTAGGGTCAGGAAAAGATCATGGTGTGGGTTAAAATGAAAAAGAAAGTGACAAACTCATAAGCTGTGAGCATGCTCCGCCTCAAGACGGTCGCGGCGCACCATACGCCCGCCGTGAGCCGTTCAGCACCACGGACAGTCGGACTAATGGGATGTCGAACCAATGGGCTGTCGAACCAATGACATGGACCCAGCGGAAACACTGATGTCATTACTATCCTAAAACATTCTCCAGGTCCTCTGAAACTCTGCAGGACTTATTTCCATCCTGCCCAGCAGCGGTACCGTGGCGAACGGTCCCTAACTGCGGGGAAAACGGAGCAGGCCTCCCCGGAGGTACGCCGCTTTTCCCGGTCCGTCTCCTCCACACTTTGACTTATTTCCACGCTGCCGACAGTGGGACTATAGGCCTATTCACTGTGCCGACAGTGGCTTGGAAAATCGGCCATAACGCCAGGGCCTGCCCTGCCTGCGAAGCGCAGCGCACCGAAATTCTCCCGCGAGCCAGAGCACTTCCGTTCACATCAGACGCGCATTTCTCCACGCTGGTCGACAAGCGGTTCTGCTCCCAGCTGTTGTCTTCGTCACATTTGGGGCTGTTTTTCCATCATGGGTAACTACCCAGCTTGACACATTAGCTCGCGGCTCGCGCAGAAAATAGACCAGACGCCGAAATGATCGCTGCAGGGCCGGCGGCGGAGCTGCGCGGTGCGGCCGGTGTGGATGACATAATCGGTTAACATGGGCGCCGAAAGGAAACTAGCTTCACTTCTCGGCGCTTCCAGGCTATTCGCGGCGCTTCCGCGGGCGGTGTGGTTCTTAACCGTGTCACATGGGGAAGAGGGAAGAGGGAAGGCGGCTGGAGTTCCTCCAACATTTGCGGTTAGATTATCATATTTTTTTATTGACAAAAATATAGGCTGCTTCGGCTGATTTCTTTATGCGCACACGTGCCCCTAAATATTTTTTACAGTTCGCACACACCTATTTTTAGTCGCAAATGCGAGTGAAACGCTCGCACTGTCGAGCCCTGTTCATAATGTGGATTGGAGACACACCTCGCTCTCCTTGGGTTTACTTGGCAGCTCCAAGTTCCTCTCACAGTGCAAAGATTAGTTTAATTTGTGACTTTAATGTGAATTAGTGTGAAGGCTTTTCTGTCTGTGGGTGTTAGCCCTGTGATAGACTGCTGAGCTGTTAAAAGCCCTGGTGACAGGCTCCAGCATGCACTGGGCTTTGTTAATGGTTGGATAAATGTAAAACACCCAGAGGATTAATCTAGTTTACAACTTTTTTGCAAGATGCATGTTAAAAAACTGCAATGCTCAATATATGGATAAAGTATTTTATATTAGGCATTTGTTTGTGGAAGTTCGGAATTGAGTCTCTGTATTTTCTTCCTGCAGCTTACATACCCTCACCGGGCTGCTCTTCCTTCACTTGCAACCATCAGACATCTGTTCAAGAAGCACTGCAACAAGGTAAGACTTACTAACACAGAGCTACTGTACAAGCAGGTTTGAACTGAAGCCTACTTTAAAGGTGTCACATGGATGTTTTCAACACTGGAATACACATTTGTTCCCACACTCTTCAGACTATCACAATAATTAAAAGTGCTATTGATAACATTAGCCACTAGATGTTGCACTCTCCCTTCCCCCTTCCATTGCAGTCATGTCACCACAATGCTCACTGCTGTTAGTAGAGCAACAAGTGGTTGTCAGTTTGTTGCACAACCTGCATATTTCAGACAGACTGAGTCGTGAAGAGTGATAACTTTCTTGGTAGACTAATGTATGAAGAGGAGTGTCTCTGTGTGTGGCACTGACCCTGATATCTTGTGTTGTGACTGTTTCCTGCTTTGTGTCATCAGAAAAACCATTGCAAACCACTGCACCTCCACAACCTGCTGACTGAGGCCTTACAGGGAGGAGGTTAGTGCCGTCTCTCTTACTGCTTTAGTGGGCGGATCAATAGACTGGTTCAGTCTTGTTTCCTCCCACTGAATTTTTATAATTCCTTTAATGATAGTGGGAACACGTTAACCGTCATCCTTGAAGGATTCTCACAGGAACAACAAAACAAAATAATGCCTCCAGTGGTTACATGTTTGGTGGGTGTTTATCTGGAATCAAGTTATACCACAAACATCTAACTGCTACAAAATGTACAGAGGCGATGCCTCGCTGCAGCGGTCGCAGGTTCGACTCCGGCTTGCAACCATTTGCTGCGTGTCACCCCCCGCTCTCGCTCTCACCCCATTTCACTCTGTCCTGTTCATTAAAGGCAAAAGCCCAAAAAAATAATCTAAAAAAAAAACCTGCTTCTCAAGTCCTTCAAGTTTCAAGTATACATATATGCACAACAATTACAGCAGAGCAGCCGTAGCAGTAGTTGTTTTCAGGCTCCCTCCAACAATGCAACTACAAGATGCATAAATACAGAAACATGCAAGTATAGAAGAGAATTACATAAAACATTAAATAGTACAGATGTTAAGGTGAGTGAATAAAATATTAGAAATATAAAACAGAATGATGAGCATGATGACCAACTGAATTAACTCCCCAGATTTTGTTTTGCTTACTGTAGTGCATAAATGTATGTAGAACTTTACATTAGATCATTATTTTTACCATACATCACCACACTAAATAGTCAGTCAGCCAGTCGACCTCAATAGTTTCTGCTCTCTCTGTCTCCATCTAGAGGGAATCAAAATAAAAGAAACAACTAGATTTCTTCTCATCAAGTCATGTTGTGTTCTCAGACACTTTTTAACAGGGAGGGCATCAAGAGGGTGAAGAATTTAGAACAACATTGTGCTGTAAAGGTGGTGGAGACAGTGGGAGAAACTGGGAGGGGGATGTACTGTGGATTTTTTGGTTCATTGTCTGTCGCAGGGACCCACACCCACCTCTACTGAAACAGGCTATGTGAGGGTCATTAACATAACAAAATCAAAATTCATGACACTGATTGGAGTGAAGTTGCTGACCCCACCACAGCCATGATAACAACAGTATTCAAACCTAGAAAAACAATCTCAGCCTCATGCTTTAATAAAGTTTCTCACGCTTCTTGTGTATGCAATGTATGCATGTTAAAATGTCCACTGATTATTGTACTTGTTTTGCCCAGTGTTGGCCGGCAGTGAGAAGTACTTGGCTCTGGAGCACTGCAAGAGCCTGGTGGTCCTCATGGATGTATCCTTACAAAGCAATATCATGTCAGTTTACTATATCTGCCTCTCTGTTATCTACCTATTGTGTCTGAACAGGCACACTCAGTAGATTGAAAAACATTCAAGTTTCAGTATTAGCAGACAGATCACTGAACCATGAGAGTGAATGAAAGAACAGGTGAAGAAAAATAATGAGATCAGTATCATGTTAAAGCTGGAGCTGAAAATGGTGTAAAAATAGTGATACTGTGCACAGAGGGAAATATCTTTTAAAGACTGCACGTGATTGGTACATTGTGATTCTTCTTTCGTACGATTTCTTGTTTAGTCAGAGCCTGGATAGCTCAGACGGTAGAGCATCAGACTTTTAATCTGAGGGTCCAGGGTTCAAGTCCCTGTTCAGGTGAGACAAATTTTAAAATAATTGAAGTAGTCGTCATCATACAACAGATAGCAGTCTTGAACAAAAAGAGTCGTGTTTGCACAGAATCTATCACCACTGATTCCCCCTCAATGCACGCCAGTTAGTCAGATTTCCGTCGGACTTGGTTCCAACGTGCTCCACCTGTTGTGGACAATAAAAACCTCACAAGATCAGTGCAACTGCATTTTCTCTCCACCGACTGCAAGACCCAGAGTATGATGGGAAGCACAGTTGATAGGTTCAAATGTTGACTCAACAATGACATTTAACAGAAACTTTTGATTTTGATTGACAGCGAGTCCTCAACCACAAAGTCCACCATGTTGCAACACCATGTTTCTGCAGTAGGCCACAGTGGACAAACCAAACACTGGCTCTAAATAGGGCCATTCAGGTTTTGCATCAGCCACTGTGGTTCACAGCCCCTCTGTGACAAGCAGTGTCTGGAAAACACTGATTTTTGAATGTTAAATTGTTCAGTCCACCTATGCGGATAGTTTAGCTCCAGGTAAAACCCTCCTGAATGACGAACCATGAAAGAATTCTTACTAGGACAAGTTTCAGCTGGTTGCAATCTGTAGTCCTCACCATTGGATGCCACTAAATCACTTCACATCTTATACACTGTTCCTTTAAAACTTTTCTCACCTGAACAGGGACTTGAACCCTGGACCCTCAGATTAAAAGTCTGATGCTCTACTGACTGAGCTATCCAGGCCCTATCAATGTTATTGTTACAGTGAAAAGAAATAATCATGTTACTGTTACTCTCCTGTAGTCTTCAAATCTACCTCCACCATGGTATCAATATTTTTAAAACATAGACATAACTGCAGTACTTCAGTAAATGTACTTTCCGCCACTGTGTGTACCTTATTAAAATGTTGGTTACTACTGTGACTCTGCAAAAGAGAGCCAACAGGTGTTACTATTATTTTGTCCAGCCCTTTTTTATGTGAGTAAGGGAGGACTACATAACAGAAAGACCTCTCTGTGAAATGCAGCACAAATCAACACACAAACTGCAGCCTCTAAAATAAAGCTGAGTCAACACTTTAAACAGTTCCAACACAAATTGATCATCATAGAGTGCATTTGTTTTGGCTAGGTGTATCTAATGAACTAATAACCAAGTGTATCGTGTTATTTGGATTGTTGATGTTTGTGCGGTTCATTTCCTTGACCTCAGTGTTTCCTTCAGAATACCGGCAATGCTCGGCTGAACTGGGATGAGTTCCAGAGTCTGTGGGACAAGATCAGGAGGTGGACGGTAAAATTCAACACACCAGTGACAAGAATAAAACTGGCAACATCATAGGTGTAGATTTCAGGGGGGTTGCAGGGATAAGTTAGATTCATTATACTGGTTAAAATAATCTTATTTTGCTCAAAAGATTGTCACAAATCTGTCATGTGAAGCAAAAATAATTGAGCTAAATTTGCATTACAGATATAATTCAAATTTTGTAGCATACTTTGTTTTTATTTCATCATAAGACTTGGAACTTGTGTTCATCAGGACAGGTCAGGTTGCTGCAGAAATTGGTCCATAATTGAGTTAATGTATTTAGTAAAGGAAGAATAAGTTGTTGTCACAGACATTATGTCAGTACATGCAGTGTTTCATGCATTCAGTAAGTTGTGTTCATTCTCTCCTCAGGATATCTTCCTGGTGTATGACAAAAACAAAACAAACCACCTTGAGTATAAAGAGGTCGCCCCCGCTCTGAACGCAGCAGGTAGGACTGAGGACACATCAATAAATAGATAGTTCATTCACACTGGAAGTTCAGTTCATGTGCAACACACACACACACACACACACACACACACACACACACACACACACACAGCCGTTTAAAGTTCAGGGTCCACGTCTGTCAGGAAAAATTATCTGACCAACAGGGGGAGCCAAACCACCTCTGTTTACCTCTTCTCTGCCTTCTAACTTTGTTCAGTCACACTTGTGGAAGTAACCTTTTATATTTACTGTTATATGTAGTGACATATTAAATTATTAGATCAAGAAGTGATTTACTCTAACCTGGGTTTGTTGGTCTTGTGTTTCTCTGCTCCAGGCATTATAGTGGATGATTTGGTAATGCAGCTGGTCGGACTGAGATACACGGAGCTGGACATGACCATCAGCTACCCCGGCTTCCTGTACCTGCTGATGAAACTGGAGAGCATGATCCGTAAGGAAGGGACATCCACAGGGGTGGTAGCACATTGTGACAGTATTCATGACAGAGGAGCTGGAGTTAAACCAAAATCTGGTGCCAAAACTAACTCTCAGGTTTCAATTTTAAAAACTTCACATGTTTGTTTTGGCTTACATCAGAGCCAGTCAGCCAATCAGTTTAGAGAACTAAAACAAATGTAAGACATCTTAAGTAGACTCTAGCCTCCTGGTTCTACAGGATGGACAAAATATTTGCCATCACAGTTCAAATATTTCTCGATTGTTCATTGTCTTTATGCTGTTTTGCAGAAGTATTTCAAGCATACGACATGGCGGGTATGGGACGAATAACTCTCGACTACAAACGGGTATGAACCTCTTTTTCTGTTTTACATATTTTGGATATAAATTGAAAGAAATAAAGGTAGCAGGTGTGATATATTTGCTATTTATTTTATTTTTATAAAATGAATGACATATCTACATTTAGCAGGTTCTTTCTTTCTCTGTTAACCAGGGATGCACAATATACAGTACATCAGGTTGACAGAGTATCGGGTAATAATGGGAAATTATTCTTTATTATACAGAAAATAAAATTATAGTTCATATATAGAGGCGATAACACAAAGCCAAATTGCTTATATGGACTGTGACAATAAACGCAGAGAAGAAGAGGAGCTTGCGCAGCATGCTAACAGGAGAGCCAAACAAGCTGTTGCCAGTGTGGACATTTTTCACAGTTTTAGAGAAAGACAACACGATTGTGCCGAGGTCTGTTCCCCTTTAGCTGCCATTTACACTGCTTAGATTCAGCGCTGAAGGACCATCGGTGGAGCCACTGCCTTTCCGGTGAAAGATTAGGTCAATGTGTACCCGGCTAGTGGATAAAATCCAACACTGAGCTGTTAAACAGTCCCAACAAACCACACCGACACCAACGCTCAACTCTGTCATTAAACACATTACAGTAATAACTGTTAGCCATGCGAGGCTAACAGTTAGCCCTGTATGTATTGAATTCAGCCAGTGCTAAACTCCAGCCCCTGGGTCCACAGCAGGGTCTAATCCGTGTAACTGCAGCACGTCACATACTTCGATTTTTTTCGGAAAATCTGTCCTTACTCAAGTCCTTTACATAGAAGTCAGTCCATAGGCTGTCACAGGCAACTGAGAAAGGCAGGCAAGGTCTCAGTTTTCAGTAACATTACAACCTGTTCACCTACTGGCAGTAAGAAATTATTAATACATGTTTAAGGTTACATACAGTACATTTAACGGTCATCATTAAAGGTGAGTTTCAACTAAATGTTTTCTGTTCTCTGATTGGTTCCAGTGGCTCCACATAACCATGTACAGCTGACCTGGTCCACTCTGATGGATTCTTCAGGATTTGCTTCGTTAAGTCTTTTTGTGTTCATTTCTGTTTTTGCATGACTGTAATTTGTTTGTTTTTCCCACATGTATTAAAGTAGATGTAGCTACTGTACAGTTCAATTCTAGAAATATTTAGCAAAGTAACACTTCCCTTTTTTATTTCCTCTTGTATGTTGTCATCATCAGTGTTGTGGAGTGGTGAACTACATTAATTAAACTGATAGCATGATAGCATAGTGATTCAAGTGGTTAAATGACTTTTTAGCCATTTTAAGTGTACTGACACTATAAACATTTTTCATGGAGCTTTGAAAGGGACATGGAGTTGAAAAAAAAATAAGATGTACTTTATGAGATCATGCAGAACATCTGCTGACTTTCCTTGCACTTCCCCATGAATAGTGGGGGTATTGGGGTATTTTATTTATTCATTTTTTTTGGTTCATATACAACCTGTGAACAAGCAGGCACTTGTTGCAACAAACTCAATTGAGAGGTATTTTGTGGCATGTGACTTCTTTGTATTAGGCCCCAAATTTTGTTTTAATTTGGTATCACGTGTACATTGTCAATTAGATCATTTTTTACCAAATAGTTAAAACTACTTTTTCGAAGTGGCTTTAGTAAACCAAACTAGATTTCTCCCCGGGGTAGTGGTGCTGTAGTTCAACTTCTTCCAGAGTGAAGTCAAACAGTAGCAATGGAAACATCTTCAAGAACTCTTGTCAGTCATGGAAACATTTGGGGTCAAAGGTCCGAGCAAGATTTGCTGCTATGTTACTGACACTTTAACAAAGGTCACCTAAATGATTTAATGAATTAAACTTTAAGATGTTGCCTCACTCTGCTCCCCTTCAGTTTAAAATGAGT